AACATAATATAGCGAATATCTGTATCATCCAAAATTCAAAGGATATTAGACCTTAGTCGCTCGTAATTAGTGTGAATGAATAGTTTACGGTCAACGTCAGCGTGTTTTCAGACCGTTTCGAACTAAATGGCTGTTTGCGAATTGTTTACTTGGAATTGGGTGACAATTTTCATAATAACGTTCGTGTAAACAGTTGGAGGATCAATCAGATCAGATCAGACCAGTTGGGTATATTGTTGCTATTTGTGCCCATTTCGAATTCATTAACGCTATTTCGCTGAAACGATTCTGCTTATTAAAATATACAAACTCAGTGTCTCGCAAAATAAAGATATAACTAAATATATCAACAAAAAACCTCTTTGATAACTCGAATCTCGAGCGTGTTCCATTTTCAATTTAACAACCCTAATTAAGAAGCACGAAATATTTTTCTTAAGCCGCAATTACATTAGGTCGTTAGCAAGAAATTAGGATGCACGAAAGACATTGCTCGAATTCGGGCACTCGAAGCAATATTTACACTGGAATACGAGCTGGAAGACGGTGTCGGGTAAACAAAACTGCCGTACAACTTTTGAGATTGGGCCAAAAAACTGCACGTAAACTTTAAATTATTGCTATTTTGTAACCATTCATCACATGACGGATTTTTAGACTTAAACTATAAAATATACGAATACTTCTTATAGACAGATCGATAGAGAATTAAAAATTGTATACGATGCAATTTAAGACTGAAAAATCGACCACATGTCACTTAGCCGCATTTTAGTTTGAGAACGGCAGAATAGGATATCTATCCGAATACGGGCGTACTCGACTCCGTTCATTTACAATTAGTCGTTTACCCAAATTCCATTGCCACTCGTATTCGGGCTAACTACCAAGTGTAATCACGCCATTACTTATTTCATTCCAAGAAATGTTTATAATGTTATAATAAAATGTTTAATATTAATGTCTTCCATTACAGAAATGTAGGAGAATAACGAACAAAAGGAAATTACGCGAAGGACGTACCGACCGATGTTATTTAAATTAAGTACCTGCGTAAGTGTTTTTAAGCTTCACGTGCGTAACAGCGACCGAAAGTGTGTTTTAAGATGAGTATTCAATTTGTTCTTCGGAGAAGAACGATATATCGGATTTTCCAGTCGAATAGAAAAACACTGAAAAGCAAATAAAACGGATCATTTGCTACCTCGGAATTCTGATTTGATTTTCTCAAATATTAGGTATAAAACTTACAACTATCAATTTACAGAAAATACATTGCATGGTATTTAAAATGAACAGGAATTTATTGAGATTAATCATTTTTTTAAGGTTTTTGTTAAGAGTTTTCAATAGAGTCTTTTTCCAATGGTGTTAATCGGTAGTAAAAAATGTAGCAAAAAAACACACGTCTGAGAAAACTATGGACAAAAACGAAAGTTTTTTTTTAGTTTACTTCACTAACATATCAAACTATCTTCATTTCAGAAATAAAAACTTATTTAAAAATAAGGAAATCGTTAGCATTGCCTTTCTTGTTTGTTTACACAGTAAGTTGACGGTATTTTAAAATAAAAATTAAAATATTAATATATTTTAATAACTGATATACAAAACCTGATAATGATGATATAGCTTCCTCTTCATTGTATTGATTCCAACCTGATTTGATCACTTCCATTTAATTTCTGAACAATACCATTGTAGGCACACAAGGTCTAAAACCTACAAATACATAGGTTTTAAACCTTGTGTGCCTTTAAGATGATTGTAAACATTTATGTACATGACTGAATGTTGCCAAATAAAAAATAAAATAAAATAGTAATGTAATATCTTATTTTAATCACTATGAAAAGCACTCTCTGTAGGTATAGTAGGTAGCTACTTTGATATTAGTAAATTTTATTAGTTTTTGAGAAAATCGAATCAGATTTCCAAGCGGGTGACCCGGATTCTTTGCGGTAGAGTGTAGAAGCACCTAGATGGGTAGACAACTCAACCTTGCGGAATACCGCAGACCGCAGTATAAGAACACTGCCTTTCGGTGATACTGTTTCTAACGCACTTCAAAAAGAAGGTGGTTCTCTATTCGGATGGTCTGTTTTTTTTGAAGTGTAACTTCTTTACGCACTCTTGACTTGGGGAGCAAGCTGGCGAACGCGTTACGCGTTACAAAAAGTGTGATCGGGCAAGCCGAACGAGAGTTGAGTGGGGGATATCAGCAAGAGAAAGCAGTGCGTGCGCACATATTTCTCTCTCTTTTTCTCTTATGGCTAGTAAATGAAATATGTATAATTATATAAATTTATACATACATGTATATATTGTACATATATACATACAGATGGAGCTAAAGAATTTACACTTCAGTCGTGTGGTCATAATAAACACTCGGTTTTTTTTTATTAGTATAAAAAGCTTAGGCTCCGTGTAGTAGGGGATCATGTACAGCAATGGTGAAGATAGGATAGCTGAAGCGAAATACTTTCCTGCCTCATCAGCTATCTTCAAGATTCTTCACTTTAATTGAACATATTTTTGTATGAGGGGGCGGAGCACTTTGCTACTCATTGTGTAAAAAAAACTTAAAAAGTAACCTCTACTAAAGAACTAATGTACAATACCAAAGAAACGTTATTACTCAAATGAGCACAATAAATGTTTACAAGGTCACTCGCAGCAATTTTGCTAAATCTCAATTTAACTAGAATTAGATTTAGCCCATTCAATAATGCCAAATTTACATTGACGTTTTGTCATTTTTCTATTGGTCGAATTTAATTTTAGCTGAATCGAGATTTAGCTGCTGAAAGTGGGCTTTAATAATGAACTTTTGAATAACACTAATAACAATCCCTCTCTTGAATATAATAATAGGAATATTGTCAAAATTCGCGCCGCCATGGCACCACAAATGGCCTCGTCGCACCACATAACTCACATCTGCCACCCGCCTCCATAATGTTGGGTCAATTTCACGCATCACATGCTATGTAAAGGATTATGGAAAATATCAATATGAAATGTTCTATTCAATTTTACCTACTTAATAAACTTCAATATAGATCACTATTTTTGGGTTCCATAACAAAAAGGAAGCTTATTACGGAACCCTTAACATCCGCTATCCATCCATAGGCAAAGGGATTATACTTGTTTCTTAGGTTAAAAAAAATATCTCTCTCAATAAAAGTCTTTCGAAGGTAGCTCGACAAAGTATTATTCTGACGATGCAGACTTGAAAAGGCTGCGAAACGTCAATAAATAAATAAAGTTCGTGCATTAACCCGTTAAAACTAGTTTTATTTAAAGGGATTATATCTCACTAGCGGCCGCCTGCGACTTCGCCCGAGTCAACTTTAGTTTTTTGAGAATCCTACAGGAACCTATTATTTTTCCGGCAGGAAAAGTACCCCATGTCTCAATCCAGGTCATAAACTATATGCATGTATAGTACCAAATTTCATCCAAATCCGTTTCGAAGTTTTTGCATCATTAAGTAACAGACTAACAAACTTACATATTTATAATATTATTAGGATAGGATGAACTGTTGAAAAACAAATGACTTAAGTAATTTAAATTTTCACAAATTAGGTAAGTATTTCTACTGCCACCTGTGATTGCTGTCATCCACCAATTTACACTGGGCTCCCGTGCTGGGACACCTTCTCCCTATCTCCCTATTCCATCCACAGGGAAGGCCTGTACTCCAATATTAACAGACTGATGATAACGATGATTGCCTCAGCATGAGCTCCGCAATATGATACATAACGTCTTTTTTCATCACGTCAATTGTCAAATTACTATGGTATTAGACAGTTAGACGCGATAAAAAAGGTTGATATAATGTAATTTGTGGTACTCATGCTACGGAGTCTGTAATGTTATTCACTGACAGAGACACGATACCACAAAAAGACACTGTTACTTCACTGTGGCTTTCTGTAAACTGAAGGTTATATCCCAAGACGGAAGCTTCGATTCGTGGAGAAAACCTGCTTTTCAATCTCTCTTATACAATTGTCCAATGTTTTGAACAAGAAAGCTTTGAGGCAGATAATAAACTGAATGTTACTTCCCAAGACGGAAGCTTTGATTCGAGAAGAAAACCTGCTTTTCAATCTCTCTTATACAATTGTCCAATGCCTTGAACAAGAAAGCTTTGAAACAGATAATAAACTGAATGTTACTTCCCAAGATGGAAGCTTTGATTCGAGAAGAAAACCTGCTTTTCAATCTCTCTTATACAATTGTCCAATGCTTTGAAAAAGAAAGCTTTGAAACAGATAATAAACTGAAGGTTACTTCCCAAGACGGAAGCTTTGATTCGAGAAGAAAATCTGCTTTTCAATCTCTCTTATACAATTGTCCAATGCCTTGAACAAGAAAGCTTTGAAACAGATAATAAACTGAATGTTACTTCCCAAGATGGAAGCTTCGATTCGAGAAGAAAACCTGCTTTTCAATCTCTCTTATACAATTGTCCAATGCTTTGAACAAGAAAGCTTTGAAACAGATAATAAACTGAAGGTTACTTCCCAAGACGGAAGCTTTGATTCGAGAAGAAAATCTGCTTTTCAATCTCTCTTATACAATTGTCCAATGCTTTGAACAAGAAAGCTTTGACACCGATAAAAAACAACTAATTACATACGCAACATACAATACGCACTTAAACAACTATGGACATTTCTTTGACTTCATCTCTCTTTTACATACGAGTATCTACGCAATTAGGGTTTTTAGAAAATTTACGTCACCAGTAGGCGCCACTGTGACATGAGGTCTTCTGTATGAAGTTTTTGGCGCGAATTAATCGCACGAGCATTTAAATTGCTCCATAGACTATGACGACATACGTGATTTAACAGATGAATAGATGCTTCGGCTCAGAGCTGCCACCTGGCATCCGTCATTCCAGAAAACCCTCATTACACTTCACATTTAGTTAAGAAACGGGCTTTTCATTCTCTATGTTAATGGTTTAAACTTACCGTCGAAGCAGGCGTACTTGATGTAGACCACCCCGAGAGTCCAGTCAGCTGCGGCGGGGTAGTCCTCAGCCAGTACGAAGTTGCAGTGGTTCACGCCGGTGCATCTGTAGCAAGATAATTTGATTAGCAGTTTGCATTTCCTTTATATAGTATAAAAATTTCAACGTCGGCAAAAGTACAAAATGTCTAAAAAAAAGTTAAAAATAGCAACTTTGCAGGGGCAGTTTAAATGCGGGCTATTTTGGAACGCTTAGATGTGACGTCATGATACATATAAACCTACAAACAAGATCAATGACCTTACAAGATACTGACATTTTGAAAGAAAGAAAGAAAGCAGATAGAAGTTGGAACTTACGTCAATCAATAGACATTTTATATTTCATACTTTTTTAGAATAAATGTTATAGTAGAAAGTTGCACTCGGTGTCTAGGTGGAGCGCGGCTTTGACATATACGCACTCGCACTATAATCTCGTTGACATTGGCATATCCTATGAACATCACTTTTGTTTGTTATTATTTAAGTATATATTTTTACATATTTTTTATTTTTACATATTTGAAATTCCACAACTTTTTCGCACTTTTATATCGTTCATTTCTTGCTCGAAAAGAAAATTTATTAAAAAATATTGATGGATGGACAACTTAAAAGTAATAGAATTTATATAATAATAAAATGAGGCTTATTTGAATAACATGCATATTTCCCTATTTTTTTCGCGACAATAGGTAATCTAAAGTACTTTCTATGAAAATTGTTTCATGAAAACGTAACAATCAACAAGCTATCAAAGTCATAATATTTGTGTTATAACTTTGATACAACAGTTTCTTGTATTACATTATAATCCAATTCAAAATATATTTTTTAATCTGTGATTCATTCTTAAAAAGTAGTTACTCGATACTTCAGTTAAGAACTATGAATATTTATTTCTCCAACTCTTCAAATATGATGAGTTCTTCCATTTGAACATTGATTGACTGACGTTGATTAGTGAATCCGAAATCAATGTTCAATGACCTGTTGTTCACGTTTATTAATTATGGATAGTAAACTAAGTCTCTGATTAAAATTCCTGGTTCCCCATATTGTATAGGATCAATGGGGGAACAGGTTTGTTTAAATGGCAGATTTCTGCCATCGTCAAAAAACCCCCGTCTGTGAAGAAGGCAGATTTCTGCCACTAGTTGAGAAAATAATTTTAATTTTTCGTAGAAGTAATGGTTTTTTATTTACACATCTAATATATAGATAAGTTTGTAGAGAAACTATTCAGGATTGATTTGAGACATAAATGAAGCCTGGACGTACGGTAAAAGTCGAATAAGAAGAGGAAAATCGTCCGGAAATTAAAAATAAATATCCGGTCGTGAAAAACAGAATGGAGGGCTAACAAAGACAGGGTTTAGAGCTATTCTGCTTACACAGTTAAAGGAGTATTATATCCGGCCATTTGACGTCTGATGACAGCTGCTTAAGATGGCGTCATATGAAACTAATAAAACCACATCAAAAATAAGAAAAGGACAGAGGTATTCCTCATGTTACACTGCGTCCCTTATTACTTGTTACACTGACCGTGGGGATCAGTGTAACAACCTACCTATTTACTTAACATTACCAGTTGAAAACATAGAACAATCTCCGTTTATTTTCGAACTAAATAACTTATAGTTTTAAGCTCATAATCATTAACATTCATTAAAAGTGTTACTAAGTGAGGCTCGGAAAAAAATATCGAATAAATATGTTTTCTTACCCAAGAACTTTTTTGACTGCTTTATGTATTATACCGCGTATACACACACCAATTAGCCTAGCCCCAAAGTAGGCACTATAAGGCTTGTGGTATGGGATGCTAGGGTAACGGATACAATACATATACTGTACATATGTAAGTATATTTATATAGAAATACATATTAAACATCCATGACTAGAGTAAAAATGCACGTATTCATCACACAAACATCTGCCCCCACCGGGATTCGAACCCGGGACCTCTCGAGTCGACGACACCATGAAACCCGGCGTACAAACCACTCGGCCACGGAGGTCGTCATAATGTTCAGTTAATATTTCAATAGCCCCGATTTTTGATTACGAATTAAATAAGATTATTAGGAACATAAAACCGCTTTTCAGTTCAACGTAGGAACCCTTTCTTATTCATTCATAAATTAATGTTGATAGGGATCCTTGACTCTACATGTACGTACTAATTAAATTCCTTCAGTTTGCGTGATAAGGATCACAGTTTGTTCAAGCGTTGTTGGAAATGTCAATTTCTGAAATGGAACAAAACTGGCTTTGCGTCGGAAAATACCGATTGAATTAAGCAGTTTGTGTGCTGACATTTAAAAGACTTAATCTATACTTATAATAAATCTGTAGAGAGGTCAATTCTGTACATGAAATATATTTTCAAAATAACTATCAGGGGGTGATAAGTGATCGATACTGATGCCAAAAATGCAATCAGTAAAATTTTTGTCTGTCTGTCTGTCTGTCTGTGTGTTTGTTCCTTATAGAAACAAAAACTACTCGACGGATTTTAACGAAACTTGGTACAATTATTCTTCATACTCCTGGGCAGGTTATAGTATACTTTTCATCACGCTACAATCAATAGGAGCAGAGTAGTGAAGGGAAATGTTGGGAAAACGGGAGAAGTTACTCCATTTTTTAAGCTTCCGTCGCGTGTGGAGCCTTAATGGTTAAAGTTACATAGAAATCATGTATGACGGAAATATTCTACATAAAATTGTCTAAAAAATATCCCGCAACAGCATATATCTATCTTTTATGGTTGACTCACAATAACACGTATAACTCCTGATAGCTTAGCAGTTCGGAGCATTCTGATTATATTTGTTTACTCTTACGTTTATAATACTCTCACTCATCCCTAATTTAAAAAAGTTAACATTATCACCTATTCAATAAAAAAAGAATCATAGAAATCGGTATAGAAACACCAAACTTATACATGAAATAAGCCATCGCGCCGTCGCACGTGAATACTGAATCATGCTTTAAGGATTATTTTTGTGTAACGGCTGCCGCGCTCGACACGGGTCGTGGCGGCGCGGTAAGGTATAAAAAGGCGGGAGGTCCGAAAGCGAGCTTCCCCGCCCCCCCGATCCTGAGAGACCTTCAGCCACTCAGTCCCAAACCGATACGGATGCACATCAGGGTGCATCCGTCCTCTAAGCGCACTAGCAGTAGTATTTACTAAGGCAGCGCTGCATCATCCCCTTCTCAGGGGTTGATCGCATCAGATGAAGCCTGTAAGGCCCCTAAGGCCATAGGCACCCCCCACGGGTGTGTTTTAGTCAGTAAGAGTCTGACATAACTCTACAGCCGGCTGTAGGGTATCCATGAGGATTTCACACCCCCTCCCCCGCCTGGGAAGAAACAAAAAAAAAAGAAAGCGAGCTTCATTCGACCTCGAGACGACCTCCGTGGTCGAGTGGTTTGTACGCCGGGTTTCATGGTGTTGCCGACTCGAGAGGTCCCGGGTTCGAGTCCCGGTGGGGGCAGATGTTTGTGTGATGAATACGAGCATTTGAACTCCAGTCATGGATGTTTAATATGTATTTTCTATAAAAATATACTTATATATGTACAGTTTATGTATTCTATCCGTTACCCTAGCATCCCATAACACAAGCCTTGTAGTGCTTACTTTGGGGCTAGGCTAATTGGTGTGAGTGTTGGAAATATTTATTATTTATTATTATTATTATTCAATATTTGGCTGTCGATGCGTTCAGAGCGTTCGAACTTATTGACAGAAAATAATTGATATTGAGAAACCGTGCTTATCTATCTTCTATACTTATAATAAATCTGTAGAGATGTCAATTCTGTACATGAAATATATTTTTAAAATAACTATCAGGGGGTGATTAGTGATCGATACTGATGCCAAAAATGCAATCAGTAAATTTTTTGTCTGTCTGTCTGTCTGTCTGTCTGTCTGTGTGTATGTTCCTTATAGAAACAAAAACTATTCGACGGATTTTAACGAAACTTGGTACAATTATTCTTCCTTCATACTCCTGGGCAGGTTATAGTATACTTTTCATCACGCTACAATCAATAGGAGCAGAGTAGTGAAGGGAAATGTTGGGAAAACGGGAGAAGTTACTCCATTTTTTAAGCTTCCGTCGCGTGTGCAGCCTTAATGATTAAAGTTACATAGAAATCATGTATGACGGAAATATTCTACATAAAATTGTCTAAAAAATATCCCGCAACAGCATATGTCTATCTTTTATGGTTGACTCACAATAACACGTGTAACTCCCGATAGCTTAGCAGTTCGGAGCATTCTGATCATATTTGTTTACTCTTACGTTTATAATACTCGGTATAGAAACACCAAACTTATACATGAAATAAGCCATCGCGCCGTCGCACGTGAATACTGAATCATGATATAAGGATTATTTTTGTGTAACGGTTGCCGCGTTCGACACGGGTCGCGGCAGCGGTAGGGTATCAAAGGTCCGAGAGCGAGCTGTCTAAATCTGTTTTCTGCGTTGCTCCCCCCCTGGGGGACGATCGCTTCCGATGAAGCCTTAGAGGCCTTCCCGGCCAGAGGCAGCCCCTACGGGTGTTTTTTAGTCAGTACGAGTCTGACATAACCTTGCAGCCGGCTGTAGGGTATCCATGAGGATTTCTCATCTACTCCCCCGCCTGGGAGACCGAAACCGTGCTTATCAGCGCGACTTTTAGTCTTTAAATAGTTTATTTGAATTTCTTTTGTTGTTATTTTGTAAAACAGGTATTAGTTGTTTTGGTAGTGTTTAAATATTCGTTCAAATTAAAAATTATTAAGCGTAGGTACTTTTATTAATTAAAGTAGTTATAAGTATTTATTTTTAAGTGAAGGAGGTATAGGTAGATAGTATTGCACAGGCGTTTCAGCTTTATTTTCATTTCTTTTTTGTTGTGAGTTGTATATATTTCTGGTTATAATTCTATAAGAATATTTTAGTTCAAATAGTCACTTAGATTTTATGTGTAAGGTAGCTAAAGTATTCGTTAAAAATATTCGTTCAAAGTGTAATTTAATCATATAGGATGA